CTTGATACAGTCTCCCACAGTGTTCATGTCAGCAAGTTAAAGAAACATAATTTGGATTAACAGACTATAAGGTGGATAGAAAGCTAGCTAGATCATTGGTCTCAATGGGTAGTGACTGATGGCTTGATGTCTTTTTGGCAGCTAGTATCAAGCAGAATGCACCAGAGGTCAGTCCCAGAACTGGTTTTGTTCAGCATCTTTGTTAATGATCTGGACAGATTGCACCCTCAGCAAGTTTTCAGATGTCACTAAGATGGTGGGAGAGGTACGTTTTTTGGAGGGTAGGGATAGGGTACAGGATGGCCTAGACAAATTTGAGAATTGGGCCAAAAGAAATCTGATGAGGTTCAACAAGGAGAAGGGCAAAGTTCTGCACTTAGGACTGAGGAATTCCATACACTGCTACAGGCTGGGGATCAATTGGCTAATTGGCAGTTCTGCAGACCTTGGGTCTGGAGAAATACAATGAATGAGAAAATGGATCAGAGTCAACAGTTTCCCCTTGTTTCCAAGAAGGCTAATGGCATATCCAGCTGCACTAGTAGGAGCATTGCCAGCGGATGGAGGGAAGAGATAATTCCCCTTGAATTGCCACTAGTGAGGCCAGTTTTGCGGGCTTCCCCCACTAAAGAAAGGATGTGGATAAATTGGAGAATCTCCAGTGAGGACAACGAAAATGATTAGGTAACATAACTTATGTGGCGAGGCTAAGGGAACTGGCATTCTTTAGTCTGCAGAAGATAAAAATGAGGGGGAATTTGATAGCAGGCTTCAGCTACCTGAATGGGAGTAGCAAAAAGGATGGAGCTAGGCTGTTCTCATCAGTGGCAGATGACAGAACAAGGAGCAATGGTCTCAAATTGCACTGGGGAAAGGTCTAAGTTGGATACTAGGAAAAACTATTTCACTAAAAGAGTGGTAAAGCACTGGAATAGGTTACCTAGGGAAGTGGTGGAATCTCCATGCTTAGAGGTTTTGTCCAAAGCTGGCTGGGTTGGTTTCATTGGGGTTGGTCCTGCTTTGAGCACCAGGTTGGATTAAATGAACTCCTGAGATCTCTTCCAACTCAAATTTTTTCTGAGTCTAAGATTCTGTGACTTGTATTATTAATTCATATACATATGGCCATGGTTTTGTGAGATTGGTGGTCTTTGTAGTTAAGACAGTACAGTTCTATGTGAAAAATGTCTTAATAGATTGATAGTGTGCTATCAAACTTCTTTGGTAAGCGTTGCATGTGTATTGTTGGCATGGATTTTCTGATGGCCAAATGTATATACATTGCACTATATATTGAATATTATTTGTATGAATTTTCTCAGCTGCAAATTCTGTTTGTCAGAATGAATACTAACACCCTACTTTGGGATTTGATGATAGAATAAGTTAACGCTTGCCATGGAATTGTAAAAACAAGCTCTTCTACAACAGATGATGGGAAAGTATTTTATAGATCCTTTTTTTCTTTAACTCTAGTGCTTCTGAATAGCATGTTGTGAACATATCTTTCCATCTTTAAGGAATGTATATTTCCAACATGTTTTCTTTAGACCAGTGCAAACATAAATATTTATGCTTTATTTCCTGTTTAAATTTCTCTCACTTCAATTTCCAGCCATTGGATTGTATTATACTTTTCTCTGATAGCCTGAAGAGACTATTATTGAATATTTTTACATGTATATAAACATATATACTATAATAAGTCAATCCTTAGCCTTTGCTTTATTAATCTAAATATATTGCTCTCTGAATCTTTCACTACAAGACTTTCTACTCTTTTAATTATTTTTATGGTTTTTCTCTTAAACCTCACCACTTTATCAACATCCTCTTGAATTCTGAGCACCACAACTGAACTGTGTTCTATCAGCAGTCACACTGAAGCCAAATTCAGATGTAAAATAACCTCTCTACCCATGGACAGTTGGTGAAGATACGGCTGGTGGAGGCAAACCTCTAGCCCAACCTCCAGCCCTGCCCTTTCTTCTGAGGCCTTGCCCCTTCCCCATGGCTTGCCATGCATTCCCTCCCGCTCCCAACCATGGGAAGAGGAGGGGAGCAGGTAGGTGCACACTCGTCCCAGCCTCCCCAGCCCTGAAGGAGGTCAAAGAGCGTGTGGCATGGTCCCAGCCTCCCCAGTGCCGGAGGAGGGAATTCTGCATGGCCTGTCACAGCCCTGCCTCTCCAGCTCTGGGCAACAGGGCATCCAGGCACTGGGGACAGCAACACTCCATTCCAGAAAGCCTACATGTTCTGGGGCAAAGTGTGGACAGGGCTATGCCTGGCAGTTTGGAAAAGCAAAGGCCTTTCCCCCCCTTACATACCGAACACCCATGTCTCTGCTTCTATTCAAGAGTCTTCTGGTTATATATCGAAGGATAGCATTAGTTCTTTTGGCCAAATAGAACAAATTCAGCTGTTTATCAACCACAACTCCCAAATCTTTTTCAGAGTCACTGCTTCCCAGGATATAGTCTCCCATCCTACAAGTATGGCCTACATTTGTTGTTGTTAGATGTATACCTTTTTCCAAATTGAAATGTGTAGTGTTTGTTGGCACCAAATTTATCCAACAATCCAGATCAGTCTGGGCCGGTGACCTGTCCTATTCATTATTTTTATCCCATCTGCGAATTTTGTCAATAATGATTTTATGTTTTCACCCAGATCACTGATTTTAAAAAGATATTTGGCATAGGGCCAAGAATAGATCCCCATGGGACCCCATTGGGGAAATACCTACTGATAATGATTCCCCTTTAATGTGTGCCATGCTAATTTTACACCATTCAGGTTTTTTAATCAGAATATTGTGCCGTATCAAGTCAAACATCTATAGATGTCTTGGTATACTTCGTCAACATTGATACTTTTAATGACCAAACTTGTAATCTCATCACAAAAAGATATCAAGTTAATTTGATAGACTCTGTTTGCTATGAACCAATGCAAATTGGCATTATATTCTTTATTAATCCTATATCAGCCACTCCATTATCTTGTTAGAAATCTATCTCATGTTGGAGAAGTATAAGAAGGGAAGAAGAATGGTTACTCTATATAATCTCAAAATCTCACTCAGTCATGTACCCCTTAATCCTTCGCATTCATAGACTTCCTTCCAGTTACACTGGAGATGCTAAAACATCACCATCACAGGCATCTATACTTCTATGTTTCTTAATAGAACATATGTCTAAATACTCCTGGCTGAATGGAAAATTTCATACTCTGAGTATTTACAGTACAGAGAGACATCTAAAACACAGTGTGCTACAAGTGTAGCCCATGCCCAACAAATAATTACCCACTCCTTGATCCCATAACAAGATATGATGGTAACTATTATGCTAAAGAAAGAAACAAGGCTTCTCTTATGGCTACTGTAAAGCAGTCATAAAATAAAACCTTTATTGTAATTGTTATTGTAGATTGTTTCATATGATTATTCAGAGAAATATGTGACTGCTTAATTATGTAAATTAATTACTTTTTATCTGACATAACAATAGTTGGATTCTCTCACACACATTTTCCCCAGAAGTATATTCTAACCCACTCCAGGATCTTCCATCTTTCTCCTTTCCCCAGTTCTCCTACCCTTCAAAATGGTATTGCCCCTCTCCTGACGGCATGCCTCCTTCCCTATCAGTTTTTCCTTCTCCATCAATTTTCTCGTCCTTGAGTACTTGGAGAGAGAGGCTGAAGCCATGATGTTTTATATCCTCATGCACAGTTGCAGCTGCATGGAGCCAGTGTAGGAAACAGACTGTAAGCGCTGGTGGATGACAGTGTGGTGTCAAAACTTTTCTGCTTCCTCATAGCAAACAGCCATTTCAGTAGTGAGGATGAGTGTTTGGGACTCACTGTCTTCTCACCTTTTCTTCCTTCAGTACCCAATGTGGCTTCCACTCTGCTCACTCACCTCCATAGCTAATTGGAACAAATGTCTAAAGGGGGGCAGGGGGAGGGTTATCCTTGGAATCTACAGGCCACACTAGATTTGTGGGTCTTTAAGCACAGTATGGGCAGAATTTATACCCATGAATTATACGTATGTATCACTGTGTAAACTCATTGTATCACTGTGTAAACTCATTTTGATTTGGGAGGAGAGAATATTGATGACCTTTTCATACCAGTTATATAAAATAGAGGCATTAGTGCAGGGGTGGACAAGAGAGACTCTGCAGACTGGACTTGGCCTACCAAGCGGATTTATCTAGCCTGTGGATGCCCTGCCACTTCCCTGCCCCCATTTAATCAGGGCTTGGGGATGGGGAGTGTGCAACGTCTCTTCCCCTGCCAGGGGTGCTGAATAGCTAGAGGCTCGCTCGAAGTGTAACGCGCCCCTTGCAGGGCGGGGGCAGGAAGCGAGAGACTTTGCACACACACAGCCTCCCTTCCCCAGCGCTGATTGGTCTGGGGGCGAAGGCAGCATGTGAAGTCTCTCGCACCACCAGAGGTGCAGGTGCCTAGAGGGAACCATCAGCTGTTCAGAACAGCTGGCAGTTTCATTCTGGAGGGAGGTTGGGGACAAAGACTTCATGTGCTCCACCTCCCTCAAGTTAATCAGGGTCTGTGGGCAGAGGAGCAGAAAGTGTCCTGGCCCCATCCTTTCCGGGGCAGCCCAGGGCCACTTCAAAAATTTGTGAAGTGGCCCCCATTCTAAAATTATTTCCCACCCCTGCATTAGTGTGTTCCTAGTCACCACAAGTAGATAATTACTTCATAGTGCAAAATATTTTAAGTGCAAGAAATTACATTTACTCTGTTGGCACAGTGGGGGAGGCTGGTCTGGAGAAGCTGTATTCCTGAATGATATCAGAAAAAATCAAAATATATTAATTGTTTGTGTATTATAAAGTGTAGACTTTTTCATATATTAATAAGTTAAATCACAATGATTATAAGAAGTGTTGCTATTGAGATAAAGCCAACCATTGTTAGGGCACTGTGGTATTCCCCCCAAACTGACTGTGAATATTATATTGCAGGTGAATTATGCGAGGAGAAACTGGATTTCTGTGCCCAAGATTTAAACCCTTGTCAACATGACTCAAAGTGCATCCTGACACCCAAAGGATACAAGTAAGCATAAAATATTGTCATACTTCAACTACACAATTATTCCCATCATTCTATTATTCTTCTGCACCCCTTCAGGGTTTGTTTTAATGTGGCTCTGTTCTGCTGTAATATCAATGCATACTCATAATAGTTGCGAACACCTATCAGTGGCAGAACCTGGCCTATTTGTTTATATGTACACCCATGTATTAACTTGAAAAGTATCCAGCAAATTAACCAGTTTAACCACATGAAACAGAACTAGTGAAGAAGGGAGAGTTTCATTCTCTGTGACCGTATCCACAAAAGTCTTTTAGAAACCTGGACTATAAAGAGAATAATTAAGTTAAATTAAAGTGGGATTATTGTATTGTTTTGTGAGTAGTAATTACAGGACAGGTTACTAGTAAGACACATTGTAAAATAAGGCAGTTCATCATCAGGAAAACTAATCTTTAATTACATGACATCCTTATTAACATTAATTAGCATGCACTCTTAAAAAGTACTTTGATGGACTTTAAATTAGTAGATTTAGGAAACCTGTTTCTTTAAACAGTCATTCATGTGCAATCTGTTTTATGTGCTGTATTTTTTTGTGCTCAGAAGCAGCGTATGCTATTGAAGTTGATATTCTTAGCACATTTTAAATATCAGGCTATTTTAAACAGTGCAGACTTTATTTGGCGATATTCAAACGTACATGCAATGAGCTCATGTACACCATAATATTAAGATTAACATTGTAAATTATATGCATTTATTCATTTCATCTGGTCAATCAATAAAATTGATTACAAATGTTTGTTACTACTTCTAGTTTGTAATCTAGGACATAAAATTCCCATATTTTGAGATTTTAAATCAGAAGATGACACTTTCAGTAGCTTTTAGCATGCATCTCACTTAGCTTAAAACTGTGCTTTATACTCTTTTCTCCTTCACTTATACATTTATTTTTGTCAGATAAAAGGCTTGAGAGATATGATACATTTTAATTGATGGGCCTAATTTAAAGAGATATGTGGGTATTTAAATTTATACTGTATACTTCTAAATGAGTCTATAAAGTGCTACGAGACCATTTGGTTTTTTTTTTCTGTAACAGACTAACTCAGCTACCCCCTGAAGCTTCAAGGCATAAAAGTATGAGATTGATGCGTATACACAGCACCCTAAACTCAAAATAAGATATGCAATTTGCGCTATGCAAATTGTGTTTCTTATTTCGAAATGGCTTATTTTGAAATTTGGCACGTACACACAGAGCCAAATTTTGAAATAATGTGCTGTTTTGAGACATCCCTTATCCCTTGTGGAACGAGAGTTACATGGATGCCGACATAGCATGCCCGTTATTTCGAAAAATACTTTGAAATAACAGGTGCATTTAAAAGATGCGGGGTAGCTATTAAGAGATACCTCCCTCCAGTATTCTGAAACAGACCCACTGAGATGTACCCACAAAGACTGATGTAGTTAGGTGTTTGTTAAAAGAAAAAAGAGAATATGTAATTAACTTTTAGACAGCTGTGTTTGTGCAAGTATGCATTTGTAATCTTATCCATGGATCTATGAGCTAAATGATTCTGAACACTTGTTCAATTTAATGTCTTAAGCTTTAACTGAAGAGTTCCCATTAACATTAATGGTGACATTTTCCTAGTTACAATATAGAAAATACTCCAGTTGAAGAATGTTTTTTTAATTTCTTATGATAAGTAAAATAAAAATAAGTGCCCTACAACTACTTTGGTTGATAGGCAACAAAGTTATTTCTTCTAAATTCTCTTAGATGAAATTTAAATAAAGTTGTGATCATTCTAACATGCCTCTGTAAACACATTGTTACATCTACACAAGAACTTGTCTTGGAGTTTTTTTCTTGTTGACTCCCAGCAGCTAAGTTAATTATGTTTACTTATTTTGACTGAATGTACATTACTCATATATTCCAAGGAGAACTTGTCAGAACAATTTGTAAGGGTTTACACCAAGAATATTTGGTATAATATCAGATAATCGGTAAGCACAATGTAATATGGCAAAAAACAACATTCAGTAAGTCCTTAGAGACAAGTTTTTGTTTCAGAAAGTGAAGATAGTAACCGGGAAGGAAGTAATTTTAAATTTCATACTGCTCAGCTGGGAGAAAATGGTGATGAATCTGAAGGTGGATGAAAGTGATAATAAAATGATAAATTTCATGATTTTAAGGAAAGGAAGGCATGTGAGCAGCAAAATGAGGATTTTTTTTTCAAAAAAGCCGAGAGCAGGCCACAGCTCCATGGTAGGGGGCAGAGTAAGGGGGCTGAAGGTGTGGCCACAGTGGGGGGCAAGGGCAGGGCTGAGAGCGGAGCCTAAGCCAGGGGTCGAGGCTGGCAAAGAGAGCACCAGCATATGGGGCTGCAAGTGCAAGGCCAGGAGTGAGGGGCCAGACACAGACACAGCAAACTAGGTAATACTCCTTTTCAACCTACCCCCAGAGACTAGCCCATGCACCAGCTATGCCCCCTTAACATTCCTCAGTGCCCCCTAGTGAAATGTGCCTCAGAATTTGGGTATACCTGATGTAATTAATCACTATATGCAGGTTTTCAATAACCACAGTAAAGTTACATTTTAATAATACATTGTTAAAATGTGATCAGAAAACATATTTTCTAAATAGTGCTGTACTTTAGAATCAGTTAATAAAATACTACATCTCTGGTATTGTCATAAGTACATTGTTTTTATAGACAGACATAGTACTAATGAAAATACTTTCCTGTTTAATAGATGTGATTGCACACCTGGATATGTGGGAGAACATTGTGATATCGACTATGATGACTGTCAGGATAACAAATGTAAAAATGGAGCACAGTGTACTGATGCTGTGAATGGGTATACATGTATATGCCCAGAAGGGTACAGGTGAGAGATGCTTGAAGACAGGACAAACATATTTGTATCATACCACCAGAGTGATTTTCTCTGAAATACCGGTTTTTGTGTTTGTGTTTAGTGGCCTTTTTTGTGAGTTTTCACCACCGATGGTCCTCCCTCGCACCAGCCCTTGTGATAACTATGAGTGTCAGAATGGAGCTCAGTGCATCATAAAAGTAAATGAACCAATATGTCAGTGTTTGTCAGGTTACCAGGGTGACAAATGCGAAAAGCTGGTCAGCGTAAACTTTGTGAACAAAGAATCCTATCTGCAAATTCCTTCAGGCAAAGTCCGCCCTCAGACCAACATCACTCTGCAGGTAAGAAGGCATGCATTGTCAAGAACTGATCTTGAGCCAGGGTCATTTTCTTCACTGTCAGTCACTGCAAGTTGGCATGGGTCCTGGTCATTTATCATGTATGAGGGGGAAAAGCTAAAACAAATGCATACATATGAAAGTTGTCATTCGATCCATTAAAAATTTTAGACTCTGGCCTACAGAGAACTAAAACGCCACTGAAATTAACGCCACAGATGGACAAAAGATTATCTTTATATCACCATTCCATTAAGGGTATGACTAGACTACAGGGTTTTGTCGACAAAAGTGGACTTTTGTCAACAAAACTATACCTGCGTCTAGACTACCGTCGAGTTCTGTCGACAGTAAGTCAACAGAATGCAGCAATTTTGTCGACAGCGGTAAACCTCATTCTGCAAGGAATAACGCCTTTTGTCGACAGAGTTCTGTTGACAAAAGGCGCTATTGCATCTACACTGTGCTTTTTCAAAAGAGAGCGTCTAGACTCTCATGTCGACAAAGAGGCTTGCTTTGTCGACAACTGGATGTAGTCAAGACGCTCTTTGTCGACAGAGGCTTTGTCAACAGTGTCTGTCGACAAAGCCTCTGTTGACAAAAGCCTGTAGTCTAGACGTACCCTAAGAGTTTTATAACAAAGGAAGAAATGTTGGTAGTGGCCATGAATATGAATGCAACCTATTTAGTGTGTCAGGTTTATTCCAATTCATTTCCTTATAACTTAGTGTTTCTTTTTTCTCTAGATTGCCACAGACGAGGATAGTGGGATCCTGCTGTACAAGGGTGACAGAGATCATATAGCGGTGGAACTGTACCGTGGTCGAGTGAGGGTCAGTTATGACACAGGATCTTATCCAGCATCTGCCATTTACAGGTGAACCACATACCATAAATTACAGTTCAAGACAAAATGTGTATGATCTCTAGCTGGGTGGGGCCCAAACAGAGATTTTTTAGTAGCCGTTTAGAAGAATTCCCTCTGCGTCCAAATTAGTCATTTTCTCCTCAAAATAACCACATTTCAAGATACCTTCTTGGTTGCCAAGGAAAGTTCTGGAGGCAGCACCAAAGGGCATCATCCCTTTGACTCAGAATTGACAGGTTAAGACTGCAAGGGGAAGCAAAAGGCTAAAAGATTTTACCATTATTTATTTGACTTCAACTACCACCACCAGAAAAGCTTCTGGGTACAGATGTAAAGTGCTGAGCTGGTACTTAGGTTAGGTCCACACCAAATCAGTTAAACAGGCTGGTAGGAATCTTCCTCATTGAAACCAGGCCAAACGCCAGCAGCATAAAATTCCAAGTAAGCTGTTCAAAGCATTTTTCCAAGGCATAATCTTTTCCAGAGCTTTCAGAAAGGAAATACAAAATGGATGTGAACACATCTAAAGCAAATTCATTTTAAATTTGAGTTGAACGCTAATGATCTTTTTTGTTTTGTTTAGTTTTGTAGTATTGACCAAGCTCCTACTGCTGGCTATCGTAACCATACCTATGTGGTGGTGTACGATATAATGGTACATGTTTGATGGAAATTGTAGAAACTTGCACTTATTTTACATTTTGTAGGAGCTATTTTATTTAAAATAAACAGGATTCCCAAAAATTTCCCTCAAATGTGAAAACAGAATCAAAATCCTAAATTTTTTCTCTGGGGAAAATGATGCTAAACTTTGTTAGGCAGTAAATCAAGGGAACTAAGATAATGTATAAGATAAAATATCCTTATAACTTATAGTGTGATTTAATCATAAAAAGTATGATGCCTTATACAGTAACCATTTTAAAATTACTTCCATTCTTTTAATGCAAGACTTATTTATGACATTTTGTTTGTAGATCTGATGCTATACCATAATTTGTAGGAGTAATATTTCATATTTCAAATATATGCATTTAACTGAATTGAATTAAAATGGGACTTAAATTTGCAAAAGAATCAAGATAAGTTTTTAAAACAGAATTGTTAGAATTGAATAGAGCAAATTCCTTATTTCCTTGTGAATCTGCAGTTCACAATAAGATAATCATGCTTTTCTCTGGGATAATGTTGAAAAGAAAGTGAGATACTGATAGGAACAGGGATAAACAAGGATTGTTTTTCTGGGTTTATATTTATTGGGTTTATCAGGTAGCTTTGAAAGCAAACAACAACTCAGACTGCATGCACTTTTCAGTTATTTGCATTCTGGCTTGCTTAAACCCTTTAAGTCATCTCCTCTAGCTCTTTCCATATTAAAAACTTACAACCTGCCATCTACCTTGTACATTTTATGTAGTATTACTTGCACTGATTGTGCATTTCAGCCTTCTAGTCTACACTCAGGCTGTGTCCGGACTCAGGGGGTTTTTCGGAAAAAGTAGCCTTTTTCCGAAAAAACATTACCTGTGTCTAGACTGCAGCCGCGTTCTTTTGAAATTAAATCGAAAGAACGCGACTTTTCTTTCGACGGCGGTAAACCTCATTTTACGAGGAAGAAAGCCTTTTTTCGAAAGTGCTCTTTCGAAAAAAGGCATTCTTGAATGCAAACAGGGGTTTTTCAAAGGAGAGCATCCAGACTGCCTTTCGAAAAAGAGGCTTGCTTTTTTGAAAGTTCCGCTTGCAGTCTAGACGCTCTTTTTCGAAAGAGGCTTTTTCGAAAGTATCATTCGAAAAAGCCTCTTTCGAAAGAGGCTTGCAGTCTAGACATAGCCTTACAGTTGTGTATAAAGTTCAGGAATTACTCTCTTAGGGTATGTCTATACTTTGCTCCCTCTTTCAATAGAGGGATGCAAATTAAGACATTCGAAATTGCAAATGAAGCCGTTTGCATATTCACGTTATGGTGCTATTTCAAAATAGTACTATTTCAAAATAACAGACGCTGTTAAGACGCGGTTATTTCGTGAGAAAACCCTTCTCTCGAAATAACTGGTAAACCTCATTATATGAGGAATAAGGGTTATTTCGAGAGAAGGGTTTTCTCTCAAAATAACCACATCTTAACAGCGTCTGTCATTTTGAAATAACGCTATTTTGAAATAGCGCCATCATGCAAATATGCAAATGAAGCACGGGATATTTAAATCCCGGCTTCATTTGCAATTTTGAATGTCTTCATTTGCATCCCTCTATCGAAAGAAGGTGCAAATATAGACATACCCTTAGCTTCACACCATTGGGAAAGGCTCTGGAAGCTTTGAACTGGCATAGCCTTTCACTATGGTAAGGAAAAGCTCATGTGGGAAGAGGAGAGTGGGGAAAGTTTCTCGCACTCTCTGCTGCTACAGCCTTTCACTAGTGTCAGAAGGTAGCTGTGTTAGAATGTATTGATAAAAATAAAATCAATAAAACAACGCGGAGTCCTGTAGCATCTTAAAGACTATCAGATTTGAATATAAGCTTTCAGGGGCAAAGACCCACTTCACTATGGCAAAAAAAGCTCTGGAAGGAGGGAGGCAGCCAGGAAAAGCTCCAGCAGCATGACATAAAATCTGTGTAGACATGGGAGTTATTGCCTGTGTGTATAAAGAGCCATACAGGATTTGTACCTTGTGGGTGCAGTCATGTAGGGCACTCTACTCACCTAATCTATACCTCACCATCTATACTGGCTATATCTGTATTAGCTGGGTATGCAGTGTCTGTATTTTCCATGCCACTGTACCTATAGGCATACCCTGAGAGATGCTTTGAAGAATCATTATTCAAAAGATCTTAATATTAAAAAATAACATGTGAGACTGTTCCATCAAAATAAAATATTTTACATCACCGTTGATACCACACTGAACTGACCCACTGATGTGGGGACAAAGGGATCAGTTGCTTCAGGGCCCAATGATTCAGAAGAACACTAGAAAAGGGGCTATGAGGTGAGGGACAGGGGGGTTGGAAAAGAATTGGGGCAAGGTGCCTTCCAGCCCCACACATTCCTCTCCCATGTATGTGCCATGATTTGGGAGCTCCCAACCCATCCAGAGTGTGACCCTGCCCTCCTTACATGAGCCAGGTTCTGAAGGGGGTTTGCCTATCTGTGGTGGTCTGATCCTCTTCATCCTACCACCTCATGTAAACAGCAATTTGAGTATCCCTGCCCTTTAGGAGTGGGTAAGCCCTGCTTCCTGACTTCCTATGTTTGAGAGGCTCTCTGTCCATTTAGGGCTGTTAGAACCCCCTTACAAGAGTCAGGTTCATTTGGCTTACAGTTTGGTGGTGGGAGCCATAAGAATCCTTCTCCCCTTCCATGTGAGATAAAATTTAGGTGTCTTGACCATCTAAATGAGAGTATCCCTGCCCTTTAGGAGTGGGTAAGCCCTGCTTCCTGACTTCCTATGTTTGAGAGGCTCTCTGTCCATTTAGGGCTGTTAGAACCCCCTTACAAGAGTCAGGTTCATTTGGCTTACAGTTTGGTGGTGGGAGCCATAAGAATCCTTCTCCCCTTCCATGTGAGATAAAATTTAGGTGTCTTGACCATCTAAATGAGTCTAACCTGCATCCTCCTTCTGTTCTGAAATGTGATTTGTCCTTTTCATATGTGTTCATTTTTTTAAATTGTATCTTTTGGTATATATGGTTGTGACTATTTTCTTCCACTATTTGATCTGAGGAAGTGGGTCTGGCCCACGAAAGCTCATCATCTAATAAACCATCTTGTTAGTCTTTAAAGTGCTACATAGTCCTGTATTTTGTTAAATAAAAGTCAGTATTACTTTTTTTTATTGCTGCACATAGAGCTGTGATATTTTTAGTCTTCTTTCTGTCAGATTGAAAACCTCACTTTCTATATATGAAGAAAAGCAGTACCGTTATGCACATCCTACTTGATATATATGTATGAAGTGGTCAGAAAAATAGACCTTGTTATGTGGGAATCTGGGAAAAAAAAATATTATTTTTTATTTGTAGCATAATAGTCCCTGCTCCTTCACATGCCAAAAAGTGCATTTTAGACATTTAACCCTCTGGGTTGAAACAGGATGGAATTGTCTCCATTAGGAGCCCTCAGAGATTCTCTTGCCATGCTAGCAAGGAGAGAAGACAGGATATAGACAAGCAGAAACACTTTTTTTACCACCATGTCACTGTATTAGTAGGGGAAAATGCATAAATTTACCTGTGCTTAGTGTATCCTAATTCTTTATTGGTAATACATCATCTACACTTGGAGCTGGGACTGATATTCCCTGCCAACTAGGTACTCATGCTAGCTTTCATCAACTAGTAGTATAGTCTCTATAGCATGGGCACTGGCAAGTGGCAACACAGTTTAGCCGCTTTTTCTATAAACATGCCAGACCCTATGAGCATGTACTTGGCATGGCTAGCTCAGGCTGCTGCTTGCTGCTGCCACTCCTATTGCAGTGTCACTACTATTGTAGCATGCTAGCATGAGTATGTCTGCTTGACCTGGAAATCATGCCTTTACTCTCCAAATATAGCTGCAGCCCCAGTGCTAGAGCAGTGATGGGAATATGTCTGTAAATCCAAAGTATAGACATTGCCTGGGTTCTGTGGAACTATAGATTTAAATCTCACTGGTGTCAACTCAGCTCTTAACTCTTTCAATATCAATAAATGGAATACCGTTTGCTCTTTACTTTGCATGATCTCATGGCACACTTTGTAAAGGGAGGAGATTGTTTGTAGTCAAAAATTTCTCTCCTCCTACTCTAGTATACACAATGTCTGACTGAAGTCATATATATATGGTTAGTAATCTCTTTGGGAATACTTCAGACTGAAAGATGTCATCAGTATGTAAATTGTACATATTAGAAATGTTACAATGCTCTAGAAATAGTAATACAAGTTATTGTCTGTTAATAAGCATGACTGCACATCTTTACTTAAAATCTAGTTATCAGAAGATGACATTAGTGGAGAAGTTTTGCTCTGAGTTTTCCCCTCTGCTTTGCAATTTCCACTATGGAGTTTTGCAAAAGAGATGGAACTGAGGATGGTTTGCCTGTGCAGCTCTGTATAGTCTCGTTGTGGAGCACTAGGGTGTTTAAGGTGCATGTGTGGACTGAACAGGCAGTGCTACCTGAAGTGGAACACCCTTAATGGTACACATCTCAAAGAACTACAATGACTGCACAAGGTGAGTAAACCTCTCCTGCTTTCTGCAGTAGTTCTTCACCAGTAAATAGCTGTATACTGTTTAAAAGACAGAAGGTTAAAGAAATCCTAACCAGGATTCAAATGCTTTAAAACTTTTTTTGTTGTTGCAGTGTTGAGACAATAAATGATGGGAATTTCCACATAGTGGAGCTGCTAGCCATGGATCAGATTCTTTCTTTATCTGTTGATGGAGGAAGCCCGAAGATCATTACCAACTTGTCTAAGCAATCAACTCTGAACATTGACTCCCCACTTTATGTAGGAGGTAGGGGAACTTACTGTTTTCTATTAGAGATGTTATAGCAAATATACTCTGGAAATATACATTGACAAAAAAAGCACTGTAAAGTGTCACTTCATTGAGTTAATTCCCAAAGATGATATTCAGAGCAATTAATCCTGAAATAGTCTCATTGTTAACTGTAGTAGTAGATGATTCAAATTTCTACATAACACTCTAAAAGGAAATAGAGAAGCTTAGTTGAAGGACCAGATCATTCCTGATAGCTAATAACTGTTGTTTTCTGACAGTAAGGATGCAATCCAAACTGTAATATTTTATAATTATGTTTTTCCTAGTATTATTATTTAGTTTCAAACAGGACTGGAGAAGTGCATAGCATTATATATATAAAGATACTAGGTCTATTTTTGACTCCTTAGCCCCCTGAATAGTCATTTATGGCTGTTCATCATGGGTGGTAAAATTCTACCATTTTGTGTCAGTAGTGGTTTACATTCACTTTACACTGTAAATAGACACACCTATATGATGGCAAGATGCAAGGCACTGGAAACATTACAAACTTAGTTTCTGCCCTGAGGAGCTCACAATTTAGGTTATAAAAGAGCTGTAATGCATGGAGAGAAGACCTTAGGCAAGAGACAGCAACAGCCGGCGACTTACACAGTAAAAAGTTGTGACAGTTCTTGCTTTCACACTATACATATTATGTCAGTGTTTTTTGCCATACAAATCATTTTAAGCTGGCATTAGACTCTTGTGAGGATAAATCATTGAAATTGTGGCGGGTTTTAGTATTTATCCGCACAGAACTTGTTGTTGGTATGTGTGCTCCATGCACATGAGCCCAGTATCTTTAAGCCAACAGTGTCCTTTGAGGCCGCTCTTATGTTCTCCACATCCATAGGCCCCTACAGCAAAGGTAGAGCATTCCTGATGCCATTGTTCTTTTTCACCACCCATGACAGTTCACAGAAGACTCATGGTGCCCATTTGAAATTCTTTCTGATGAAAAACTCAATAAGATGTGTGTGTCATTCTGAGGTCCCTCTACAGAAATAGTGTTGTCCTGCTCCAAAATAGTTCCAGCAAATGCTGGAGCTAAGCCTCCTGATCCTTCTTAATCCTTGTGAGGTGAGTCAGAGGCCTCTGCTGCCCAAGGTCAGAAGGACCAAAAATCTGTGATCATCATCCCCAATATTAGCCAAGGAGAAAGCTAACTGTCAAAATTCCTCTGACTTGCCTAAGCTAACTCATTCAAAATCTCATTGGTACTGAGGGTCATCAGAGATTCTGGGATTGTGTTCTTCTACAGCAGTTCTACAGCCTCTATTTCAGGTGACTAACACTTCTTCCTTAACACTGTATGCCACAGACTCATCAGTATTGCATTATTATAAAAATTTATCTGCTAAGACTCCCATGCCACTACTGATGGTCACGGTGCGATTGTCATTAGAATTGCCTCCTGTGTCTGCAATGGCTACTTTTACATCTCCTGCAAATCTAACCATCTCTCCAGAACCAATATACCCTTCGCTATCCCCAGTCCCATGTTTTTCTTTTATTTTTGATATCAAAATCTATGCTGGTACCAGAGCCCAGTGTGTTGAAAATGAAGCATCTAGCTTCTACAGTACCATTGCCAGCTGTTCATACTGTCATGTCTGAGTCTTCCTGTTTCTTACACCTCAGAGATTTGATCTCTTTGAGAAGAATTTTATTCATATGCATCATCTTCTAATGGCAGCAGAATCTCCGAGATCTCCTTCTCTACCTGAAGTGATGCCTGACTGATGCCTTCTTGTCATAAATCTCATGCTTCAGAGAGGTTTCATGTTCCCTGGTGTGAAATCTGTAATATGAAATCTAATAAATACAGGTATAAAAATCTGCACTTAGGAGGGAAAAAAATCAAATGAACAAATTCAGAATAGGGCATTTCTAGTTAGGTCATGATACTGGAGAAAAGGTTCGGGGTGTTATAGTAGAGCAAACAAAAAGGTAATATGATTACAAAAAAGGCTTATGTCATTATATGTAATATGGCAGACACTGTAAGAAATCTTTCTGCTCTACTCAGCACTAGTGAGGTCACAGGTGAATTACTGTTTTCAGTTTTGGGTATCACATTTAAGAAAGATGTGAACAAATAGACGAAAGTCCAGAGAAGAGCAATACAATGAATAAGAGGTTTAGACAATATGGTTTATAAAGGAAGATTTAAAAAACTGGGCATGTTAAGTGTAGAGAATTAGATTTAGGGAGGCAGTATGATGAAATAGTCTTCAAATATCTAATAGGGTGTTTAAACAGGATGATGATCAATTGTTCTGTATCTGTATCTTGGCTGATTAGCAACAGGTCATCACACAGTTCTACAGCTCATTTCCAAACGGGGCCACCAGATCAAGTGAGAGATGTCCATTTTTGCCCCTACTGAGTTCCTAGAATTTATTGGAGTAATGCTGCATCCCAAATTGGCAAGAGTATAGCTTTCTACAAAAAAAATTAAGTGATAAATCACCTCATTTCATACATTGGCTCATCCCAGAATAGCAGCGAGAAGTCTCCTAAATGTACTGGGTCATATGGCAGGTTGGAGATACCTGATTCCACATGCAAGATGATCCTCCAGCCTCTTCAGGGGTTAATTTATTAGGTCATCAAATGCAGCATGCACTTATTGGTACACATTCTTTGGAAAATACTATCGTCTCTGCTTTGATGGACAGATATTCAAAATGTGTATCAGTGTATTCTGCTTGATCCACCACCTCCTTCAAAGATTCTGGTGGTTGACCCATGAAGCCACTATGGAGGTGCTTAGTTGGTCTTTCTTCCGATTCAGGGCATATGGTCCTGAGCAGTGTGTCAGTTGCAAATAAATGTTGCAGAGTTGAGGTCTACTCTGTTAGTCTGGAAGGCATTCTTGGGGAGCAGTAAGACCAGAATCTATGGCAGATGCATTTCTGATTCAGTGGGAAAGAACTTTCTTTTATGCTTTTTCCTCCATTCCACTAATTGCCAGTTTTCACAAAGCTGTATCAGGACCAGGGCTCAGTGCCAGTGGTAGGTCCAGCATGGGTACATCACTTTTGGTATGCTGAGCTGATGTATCTATCCATCAGACCATCTCTTTGACTTCTGAACTTCTCAGATATCATGTTGCTGAACTACACCCAGTGTTCCACATGATACTGGCAAATGGTGTCTACAATTCTAAAGGGCTTAATTCATGCATTTCTACTAGCTAAGGAGTGGTTTTCTACCTGTGACTTGAATGTAATTCTCCTGTCTTTGATGGATTCCCCCCTTTGATCTCACATTCTCTCTGTCACTTGTGTTTAACTGACATTTTTGGTAGCCATCACCAGCACTCTGTGGGAAATTTAGGCTTTGATAACAAGACCCCCTAAAATCATTTTTCAAAAAGGCAAGGTTATTCTGAGACCACATCCGAAATTGTTTCAAAAGTGGTTTCAGGTTTTCATATAAACCAATTTATATACTTAACCTATAGTATTTTTTCCTCATGATTCTTTTGCAGAGGCCAAAACAACACATAAGCAAACAGCCTTAGAGAGGTATTTCTGAGATTTAGACGGCAGTAACTTGAAATTCTATTCATAAGTTCATCACTACTCCATTGTGGTGCATTTTATATCCTACATCCAATTTGTCTAGGGTGTTCTCACTTACTATTTAACTAGGACGATTATCTATCACCTCCTTCAGAAATACCTACTAGCCAACTACAGTGGACTCTATATGGACAAATACACAAATAAAAGATTGTTCACCATGCAGTCACTGGAGTTCTTTGAGATTCCTTTGTACACGTAGATCTCACAAATTGCATGGTTCCCCACCAATAGAGTCCTTACTTGGATTTTCTGTACCAGTGAAGAAATAGTGCTTGGGGCTGCTTCCACCTTTTATACACTCACTGTACAGGCATACAGCTTCATATAGAATCCCAGCAGGCAGGACTGGCTAAGAAATTCCAGGTCTGCAAACACTTGCAGTGGTATCTGCAGTATGTAAAGTGAGAACTCCAGTATATCAAATAAGTCACCATTCCTTCTGTTGCTTCTGATTTAGTCCCCAAAGTGACAGTTGGGGGAAGACCCATGTTCTTGACTCTGCATAGGCAAAAGTCTGTACCTGTGTGGATGTTCCTGCAAGATGAGTGTCCTAGCAAGGAAACTGTATGCATCATGTATGGTGCATATGGAAAAAATATTAATTAATCATAATGGATGAATTCATAAACATAAAAAGGTCAGTAATTTTAGAGTGAAGGTTTCCATAGCAACTGTTCCTCTGCCCACATTTGCCTATGTGCTGTAGGTGAGTCTTTCACTATGCTACATGTATGCATCTTTGATTTTAGAGAAACATTTATTTGAATTGACTTACATTGTAATATTTGCCTGATATTATTTTATCTATTGTAATGCACATTTGCTCTATTCCCAGTTGCTGTGGGAACCTTCACTCAGAAATCCCTAGTTCTTACATCTCAGTGTTGCATTGGTGTCTTTGTTTCATATAGTTTTGTGTGTTCCTTTTTTCCAGTGGCTGGCTCTGCGGACCATGTCAAAACAACTGTTGTTATTTTTTTTCTCTCCAGCCCATATAGCTAAGAGGCTGAGAGGCAGGTCTCTCAAGGGACTCCATGTGCAGTTTGAGTCACGGACACTTAGGGAATCTGATTGGGCCTAACTCCCACTCTATTGACTAATCAAACTTAGAACTTCCTTGCTTTTTAATTTTAGATAAGTTCTATTCAAACAATGGGATCATTTGCATTCAGGTAACCTGAAGTTCCACATTTAGTTGAAATAGACTGTGACTCCTGTAATTTATTCATCCCGGGAAGTATTAAGCATTCATGAAACAATTATTAGACCATTATGCAAGAGACAAGTTTAAAAACTGAGAGTTACTGTTGCAAGAACACAGTGTTGTATAGTAATTCTCATTCTGAATTAAAGTCCAGAATTTTTAAAGGGTATATTCAATTGCAGTACATGTACCTGCCTTACTTCAGTCCCCACAAGTGGCCTCTGTAAAAACTGTAGATTAGATTAGAACTTACAGTTGTGAAAATAATCAGTGATATATGAATTTTCACCTTTCAAGACCGCTGACATTTTTTGTGATTTTTTTTTTTTTTTTACATACAAAATTTCACATATAAGAATATAAGAAGCATTGGCTTGATTTTCAGAAGGGTTGAACTTCCTCAGCTCCCAATGAGTTCAGATTCTATTGTGGATTCTCAGCATCTTTGAAATCAGATCCTGTATGCTAAATTTCAACACCAACTGTGTTTTTAAAATCATTTGTGAATGAAAGTAAAGGTTTAGAAAACAAATATCATCTATACCAATTGGGCCAAAGCCAGAATTTCAGACCTAAATTTTTCAGTTCTGTGAGGTACTTATTTGAATGCTGAAACTAAATCCATCTTACAGTGGAGACCTTGGGTGTCATCCAGGTCTGAGAAAGGCCTGGTTTTGGTTTGCATGCCTCTGAACTCTGCAGTTAAAGATGATTGAGATGTGAGACTAGCTGATCTTGTGAATTTTTCACCTTACTTGGATGAAATACAGTATCACAAGGTTAGCATAATGTGTTTTGTTGTTGCCTAATCTGAACCATACTTAGACCATATCTAGGGCCAGATATTGAGTCCATCTCTGATAATTGAATGTTCCATATCTATGAATGGTTAATTGGGGAACACTAATTTTAATAAATAAAAACAATACTAAAGAATACAGAACTGTACTCACCAAACTATGTACTCATGAGTTGATAATGTTCATTTTCTAGGTATGCCTGTAAAAAACAATGTTGCAGCACTACGCCAGTCCCCAAGCCAGAATGGCACCAGCTTTCATGGCTGCATCCGTAATCTGTACATCAACAGTGAACTGCAGGACTTCAGAAATGTGCCACTGCAAGTGGGAATTATTCCTGGTTGTGAGCCTTGCCACAAGAAAATGTGTGTGCATGGAACTTGCCATGCTACAAGCCAGTCAGGCTTTACCTGCGAGTGTGAAGGAGGATGGACTGGACCACTGTGTGATCAACAAACCAATGACCCTTGTCTTGGAAATAAGTATGTCCTTCCTCGAGACAGAGCTATAATTTCATTTTCTAATGCCCTGTTATGTACATTTAATGTAAAGTTCAAACTTTTTCAGAAAGATACAAATATACTGTGCATATAGGAGTAAGTGTAGCTTTTTGTGGGCTAAACTTGAAGAATACTCATAAACTACAGTTTGTGACAACATTCTGTATTTATAGAATGGTCTGGGTATGCCAATTCATTTTTAAACATTGTTAATGAATGAAATTTCCCAGTACAGATGGTGACAAAGTTTCTGTATTTCTACCTCTTAAGCCCCACCAAAGGTTATAACAGATGGTACCTAAGTACTTGCATACAATTTCTACAATGTGAACTACAATAACTATTCACATAGGACATGAGGATTGGTGTAAAAAATAATCATGGGACTTTACAAATAAAGCACACATCCATTTCTGTTACTTTTTATGCTTCCATGTTGTCACATTACTCACCTGGTAGATTGTGCACTGGGAAGAAGATCTAACTTCTGTTGTATGTTCATAATCAATTATGTTAGTAACACCTGAGTTGCAATTTTGTTTTAAACTATTCTATCTGCATATTTCTGTTGACTGTTTTTCTAGATCAGTGCATAGATAGATATAGAAAGCATCCTCACAAGGTTCTCAGGTCAGGAACTCTGCTAACTCAGAGCTTTCTAATCACCTACTGATTACGTTTCCTGTTACATCTCCCCATACAATTTTCGTCACCATAATTCAGCAAGCCAATTCCTGTGAGAGCTGCAGTTTTTGGAACGGTTATCACTGATCTCTCATTCTTGCAAGTAGCTCCAAACACAGGTATTTTTTTGCTTTTCTTGTCTGATAGTTTTTCAGTAGTCCAGTCTACATGATCCAGAACCACAAAATTCCTTTGATGTCCAGTGGGTTCAGTTAGGGTTTAGCTCAGATTCTGTTGAGCTGTTTTTCAGCTCCTACACCGAGTGATTTTAAGTGTCTTTTTTGGCATATTTTGTGTTGATACTACTGATAACCTTGAGACTTTGGCTTAATTATTTCAGCAGTTTGCACTGCCTCCAGAATGATTCAGTATTTTGAAGTTTATAAGTCTTCTCCCAAAACCACAGCACATCAGTGAAGTTTTGAAGTATTTTAACACTCACTGTCACACCAAGCTTCTGGGATTTTATTCATGGGATTTCTTTTCCAGGATAACCATTTTTCTTTGCCTCTCAAGAGGACAAAGAAAGGAAAATCCTAGTGGCTTCCAGAAACATATCAGCTTCAAGATGTCCATCACAGCTGAACAAGTCTGCTGCATTTTGTGTTTTGGAAGTCAAATATAATGTGAAAATGCCATCCATCAAATTTTGTGTGGGGTGCAACTAAAGACCCAGTTAGCAGCACGGCACCACTAAAATAATTCTGTTCTGTTACATATTAGTTTCTGTACTATTTTTATCACTTACATGTCTGAACACCTTTTGGTAATGCATTAAGTGACATCATTAAAATCTATCCTGATTAGTTTGCTCTTTCTTCTATCATTTCCTTAAGAGGACAACTTAGTGTTCTGTTTTGATTTTTTTTTTTAATTTCATGTACTTTTTATGTCATACTCTTTGAATTTATGCTCCTCTGTGTGTTCATCCTGGAGATGGTCAGGCTGAAAATATTCAGCCAGGAATGGAAGAGGGTGATAGTTCCTTGTATAGTCTCAGGCCAGCCCCGCTGAAAGTTCTGACTCCTGCCCAGATGAGCTTTACTCTTATGGTAGGAAGTTTCATTGTGTCAGAAAAATAGAGTTGTTCTCCAGGGTCCTCATTCTGTAGCTTTTGGTAATATTTTAGGCATGTTTGATCTTGGCTATTGAGGCTGCACTTGATTTCAAGATCAAGAGACTGCACTTGATTTTCTTCTACTCCATTTTGGCCTGGAGTGCTTCAAAGGTTCAGTTGGATTCAGGACTTGGCACTGGCACATTTCTGACTACCTTCTAAATCAAGCAGATCCTCCTTACTAGGTGACTTGATGCAGTTTGTATTTTCATCAAAGACAACCTCTTTATAGCACATCAGGCTTTTGATATCCTCAGCAGAACATGCAGGTTGGATGTCATAAGCTCTGGCTGTTTCTTGGATGATGGGTTGTTTCAATCAAAGGCCTAGATGCAGAAAGTGCCACATGAGGCCCAGCAGCACTGGGACACTTCCACAACCCAGGACTTTGCAGTGCAGCCTGTAAGCTTCTGATTACCACATCCCAAACACTTGCAGCTTTTGGAAAAGACCTGAGATTAAGGGACTGCACAGGTCCAGTGCTGAAGCATGTCAGAGGTCTTGGTATCCCCGGAGTCTTGTTTGAGCTGCTGTTGAATCTCTTGGGATTGGGTTACATCAGTGCAGGCAGAGCTATGCTATATGCAATTAATTTCAACACAGCCTGCAATGGATGGGAGAAGGATTGTGCTCAGCCATGATACAAGTGGTGTCAATACCTTATCCAGCAGCATTGACTTTCCTCCCAAGTCTTTAAGCACACTATACTAAATCATTCATGAGGAACCAAAGGTACAGTGTGGAAAGGTGCACAATTTGGGTTCTCCTGATGAAGTTGGAGACAGGAAGGAGAAGCATTAGAGTAATTCTGAATTGGACTGTTGGGATTGGTTAGATCCATCCAGGAATTTTCACACAGATAGTCCCTTGGAACCAATACATGTCCAGGAAACTAGTATATCAGGAAGAATGTTACAGGACATAAAATTCCTCCTAGGAAGAAAGACCATCAAATCAAAACAGTAACAATTAAATAATTTTGTTAAGAGTCAGGAATTATTTCTCCCTGGATTTCAGTCTGTGCTTAGTGAAATAAAATTAAACATTGTCCGTCTGGGAAACATCATACTTCTTTTAGAGGAGTGTGATTGACTGTGTGCTCCAGCAATGTACATAGGCATCCTGGTAGATGCAACTCAAGGCAGTCTTTAAGCCTCAGGACAGATGCAGTACATTACAAGCTTACTGGAAGGGGTTTATGAGAATCAGAAGGGAACATTTTGACCATATTACAAATGTTGGGTCTCATAGCCAAAACAGAAATCATAGTACCTGTGCCACCTCTTTTTAAAGTGCAGTCTCAGTGGATCTTGAGATCCCAGTGGAAAAAGCAGTCAGGAACTGTCTGGAAGATTATAGACCTGGAAGGAATAACAGTTGGTGGCAAATGATCATTGAATTTGGTATGGTAGGTATTGTGCATAGTCACCAGGCTGCCACAGCTTTAGAGGGCCAAAAACCTTTGAGTTAGTGAGATACTGGCCTGTCTTGTGCTGGGAGCCCAACACCTCAGACATACCTTGTGAAATGATACTTTCAAAGAAGCAAAATTACAGGTAAGTAACATTTTCTATTTGCTGTTCAAGTTTAATTTCTAAAGTGTTTGTTCATTAGGGGTATGTTCTTGCATTCTTTATACACCCAAACTCTCATTTAAAATGTAGGTGCATGAGGAATGCTGGATTTATTTAATTATGACATGTACAAGACTTCCATAACACATCTACAGTGGCTGTTTTTGGCAATAACAGAATAGTATTCTATACTGCAGTTTATTTTCTGTAAACTTTCATACCAATTACTAAAAAAAACTTGCTTAAACCACTTAATTGCATCTCATTGAAAAAAATGCATTTAAGTCTCAAAGCAATTTCTTTTAGAGTACAATCCAAAGTTTATGTAGCTAATGTTGCTTAATCTAAACTTCTATGAATAATTTATTTTTATTCTCTTGGGCTTGTTTCCCCTGTAGATGTGTACATGGTACCTGCTTGCCAATCAATGCATTTTCATACAGTTGTAAATGCCTGCAGGGACATGGGGGAGTCCTCTGTGATGAAGAGGAAGAGTTGTTTAACCCCTGCCAGTCCATCAGATGTAAACATGGAAAATGCAGGCTTTCCGGCCTGGGGAAACCATATTGCGAATGCAGCAGCGGATACACTGGGGACAGCTGTGATAAAGGTAAATAATTCAGCATGTTATCATTATTTGGTGTTAGAACATAAGCAATCAGAACATTACCATACTTTTTTTTCACAATACACATTTGTGTTCCTTTTTTAAAAAAATACATTGTAAAGGGCTTGTCTTAGTGAGAGAGAAAAAAATCTAACAAATTTGCCCATTTATTAAATATTTTACACTTTTAATATTTTTTCATCATGTTTTGCTGTGAAAACATTTCTCTTTTTGACTTTATTGAGAAGCAAATTTTTGCTATATATAATTATTACCTTTTACCTGCTGTATCTTTGTGTATTTATTGTTTCTCTGTCTTCTGCAACTGAGAAGCCAAATCCAATGATTCTGCTCCTAGTTTTATCACAAACTCTACTTTTGACCTCTCAGCTTCAACTGATATATCACAACGAATTATGCAGGTGAGATGGATGAAAACAGGATGACTTTCTTCCCTATCTTTTTTCTTTTTTCCTTTGTCTATCAAAGCACTTCCTTTCTATCCCCACCTTTTTTTTTTCTGACCCCAGCTGGCATTTATTTATTTTGTATTGTGCATCAACGTGACTAGAATATTGAAATATACTGGTAGAACTTTTAACAGATATCACGTTTCGATGATTTTATACCTCAGTAATTTATAAAGTTAGTGTAATGTGTATAGCCTCTATTAAATAATAAACTGAATGATATTAAACTCCAGACCTAATAAATTGCATGCTCTAGGAAACATTTTCCTACAGTAAATAGAACCAACTGCAAGCAATATAAGAATAAAAGATGTATATTTGCATAATAAAGATTTTATCTTCCCATTTTCTTGTCATTCTACTAGTATTTTATTTATGGTTTACATATATACAATGTAGATGTTACTGAAAATAGAGGGCACAAAAAGGTAAAGTATAGAAAACAAGAAAATGCAAGTGAAATCATTCATTTCTGATATATAATGAAAGTTGAACTCTAAAATAGGAATTGAATTTAGAAGTATGACATCTTTTTATCTAAGCTGTGTATTATAAAACATTCTGTAACTTGCATCTTTAAAGCCATACATCATTTTGTTTTTTTTGTTTTTCACAGAAATCTCTTGTCGAGGGGAACGAATCAGAGATTACTACCAAAAGCAGCAAGGGTATGCCGCGTGCCAGACGACCAAGAAGGTATCAAGACTAGACTGTAAAGGAGGATGTTCAAATGGGCAGTGCTGCGGACCACTAAGAAGCAAGAGACGGAAATATTCTTTTGAATGCACTGATGGATCCTCATTTGTGGACGAGGTTGAGAAGGTGGTGAAGTGTGGCTGTACAAAGTGCCCCTCCTAAATGTGCCCCTGTCTTTTGAAAATGTTGTATACTTATTGACCATGTCGGACTAATTAATACTTCATAGTGAAAATATTTGAAATATATTGTAAAATACAGAACAGACTTATTTTTATTAAGAGAATAAAGACTTATTCGTCATTTGCAAAAAGATTCAAGTGCTTGAACTGAAACTTTTCATAATCAAGAGGAGCTTTGAAGGAAAAAAAGACCCTTTAACATTGCAACAATGATGGGAAATGTAACTGCTTTTAACATGGATTCTTCTTTATAACATGCTGAAGATAAACTGATATTATACACACATAACTTTCAACCTACGGCTCAGTGATGAAATTATTGACCAGAACATGAAGGGGTTTTTTTTTCACTTTCATATCAATATATTTCATTATGTTGACAGACCATACCAATTACTTATAGATGAGGAAGAGTTGTGGGAAAAGGGATTCAGATTATATTGGTTTAACAAATGTATGTGAAGGATTTTATGTGGCATAATTATTAAGCATCTTGGGAAGAGGGGATGCCCCTTTAATGGATGGGAGACATTAAAATGTGAGAATATACTGAAATTTTCTGACGATGTATACTTTTATATCAGCATGTTAGCAAAAGAAGCATACAAAAAGTGTTTTATCTACCCTTTTCCAGTATTAATTTTTGTAATATAAATGTTAAGGGAATGATAAAAATAGATTATTGATGGATAAATTAGTAATAATATGGATTTTTGTTTCTATGAGTTCTAAAAAGCTCTATACAGTATTCGGTTTCATTGAGAAATATTTATTGTATCAAAGTACATTGTACCTTAACCTTTTTAGGTCATCCCTTTTACTGTTTTTCAATGCTTTAATATATATTAATTTATATTTGTCCTGATATTTTTGTATTTTGTTTTTTTTAAAGAAAGACTTAAAAATCAGGATTTTTTGCAATAGAACTAACATAGCATGTCATCTTGGAGTAAATGTGTTTGGTCTGTTTTTTGTTTTGTTGTTTTTCCTAAGCATCTCACCACTTGGTGTCTGAAATGGAAAGTGATAATAGTTTGCATTTTTCACATACAACAGTCATTCAGGACACCTCTTGAAAACTTGTATGAGAGAAAATATCTTTACACTTGATGGCAAATGTATAGAAGTAAATTTTTCCTATATATATACACAATACTTACAGAAAATAAAATGGTGTGTAGAAAATGACACTAGATAGTAGACCTTTACAAATTAATAATCCCATGGAGTTCCTTTACCTTAAAAAAAAAAAAAAACAGAAAGAAAGAAAAAAAAGGCTGTACTATCAAGGACTGTGACTTTTTCCAAATAATAAAACTACTTTATTGTCCTAATGTTCCCTATGTTAATATGTTGCTGCTAAATTACGATGTAGAACTGGTAACAATTCATAGTGGGTTGTGTTCTTTCAGTAAATCCAAGGATACCCTGTAAAAATGCAATTTTTTCAATTTTTTTTTTTTTACAGAAGAAGTTAGATGTACATGTGTAATGCCGTGTGCTTTGTCTTATTTGGACTGATATCAGTAAAGCTACTGATGTTTGTAAATTAAACAGATATTTACTTCATTAATAACTCTTATTTGTGTTCTTCTGAGGATCTAAATTGTTTAACAATCTTTAATTAAACATCTGTAGTTGCAAAGAATATTTTGGGAAAAAACGCCAATTCTAGTGTACAGTTGCTGAGAAACTAAAGGACTAGGTTCCATAGGATTATTACAGTTTCAAAATACAGAACTATGTAGCACTTTAAAGACTAACAAGATGGTTTATTAGATGATGAGCTTTCGTGGGCCAGACCCACTTCCTCAGATCAAATAGTGGAAGAAAATAGTCACAACCATATATACCAAAGGAAACAATTTTAAAAAATGAACAAATATGAAAAGGACAAATCACATTGCAGAACAGGAGGGGGATGCGGGGGGAGGGGGAGGAAGGAAGGTAAGTGTCTGTGAATTGACTTACACTATTTGATCTGAGGAAGTGGGTCCGGCCCACGAAAGCTCATCATCTAATAAACCATCTTGTTAGTCTTTAAAGTGCTACATAGTCCTGTATTTTGTTTCAGCTACACCAGACTAACACGGCTACATTTCTATCACTATTCTACAGTTTCAAAGGTATTCACAATGTCATCTGAAAATGTGAGTAATGAGAAACACACATATGTGAAAAGTTCACTTCCCACCCATTGCCTGTATTTAATGAAAATACAAATAGCTCATTCTTTGCTGTTTTATTCGATAGACTAACTTGATTCTTTGTACTTTTTTACATTAAGATGCCACCTTTGGGCTAAATATTGGTCAGGTTTAACAAATATTGGTCAGGATAAGCAATTGGTCAGGATAATGTTTAGGTGGTCTGTGATTTATATAATGTTTTTATATGCTGTGTGTCTATTTTCTTAGAACTTGACTAAACATCTACCAAAACAACACTTAGTCTGGATGCCTCATCTCATGTTACTATGATTTTGAAATAAATAAATAGTAACTTCTCTAACCGTCAGTAGCAATGTGTGAATGTGGTAGCACAGAATAATCTAGTATTTATTTAGCATTTCCAGAGACATAATATTACAACATCTTTCTTTGTGTTCAAAAGCTGTATTCAGTCCTAAAGCTCCACACGCTAACTATGTGGAACCAGACTCTGAATTCTGTTCTCATGCTTATGGGGGGGAAACCATTGGCTTTGGAATTTGGGTACACGGGAGTTCCAATGCTTGAGGGCATAAATACCATGATAACCACTAAAAGTGTAAGAGGCCAAGTTTTCAAATGCATGCTTTTTATGTATTTCTAGTGAGGAGGCATAGTCTTTGGTGACTAAATGCACCAATAACAAGTTCTAACTTTTATTAATAATTTTATTTGTTTTTTTTGTAATTAGAGAGGCCCCCTTCCTTGTTTGTTTGATCATTTATTCTATTCTAATACTATGTGTACACAACATAAGTCATAGTTCTTACCCCCAGAATCATTCAGTCTAAATCAGATTGATACAATACAGCCCATCCTCGCTATACGTCCAAGATTCGTTTAAAAAAATGTGCACATATAGCAAAATAATGTAAAGCGGGAAATTTTTTCCCATAAGAATTAATGTAAATATGGGGAGATATGTTCCAGAACAGTTTTTACATCACCTTAAAGACACCTTAAAATAAAAAAGGAATTTTATTGCATAATACTAGATGGTATAAGGGGAGGGGAGGTTCCAGAACTTAGGAAATGCCACACTTCTGATTTTAACAACACGAAAACGTGATTTTATGACATATTACTGTAGTTTTTAATAATTTTACCTTGAGAAGGTGACTTTTTGCTTGATTGGCCTGATGTTGGTGTTGATGGAGAAGCAGGTGGAGGATCATCAGCTGCCATCTCAACATCACTAACATCCATCACCTCAACGACTGGAGTTTCAGCAATGCCTGCTGCGTCGGTGTCAATAACAAACAACATCACAACTTCTACAGGCTCTTCAAAAGCTACCTCATGGGTTTTTTTCTGCTTTTTAATGCCAGAAGGTCCTGGTTGAAACTCATCTTTGAATGGTTTGGAATCCTTTTTTAACTTTTTAAGTAAAGAAATCATCCAGTATTGTTTGCTTGGGGCGCTTAAGTTTGGCATCTAAAATCTGTCTGTAACATGACAAGCCATCTGCCACAATTGCTGCTGCTCTTAAAGAACAATCAAGATGGTCACATTCCTCATACAGGTCCAAGACATGTCAGAAGATAGGGATTGTCAGGCTGGTATCTGCATTTTTATCTTTATCCTCATCTGCATCAACACTATCTTCTTTGTGGTACTGTTTATCCAAATCTGCTTAGATCCTCATTACTGAGAGGCAAAAAATGAGATTCCAACAACTCTTTCGCATTATCCTCTTTGACTTCCTGAAAGCCAGACTCCTTTGCTAGTTGGACAATTTTTTTACATATGAGGACTTCCGGAAAGCCCAAAAAGTCATGCACAGCATGAGGATACGGGTTCTTCCAGGCACTGCTCATAAAGGGATAAAGGATCTTTCAGAAAAGGCTTTATTTTCCAAAAGATCCGCATCTAGACTGGTGCTTTTTTCCGGCAAAGCTCCGTGGCAAAAAAAAGCGGCAGCCATTTTTATGCTAATGAAGCAGGGGGTATTTAAATCCCCGCTTCATTTGCAATTGCGATATGTCTAATTTGCATCCCTTTTACGAAAAAGGGATGCAGTCTAGACACACAGCCTGGGTTTTTCTTCTCCATCAGTTTCCCAAATAAGTCTGCGGAATGTCCTCTGCAAATAATAAGCTTGAAGTTTGCGATAACCCTCTGGTCCGGTCCATTGGCTGCATGAGTGAGGTTATCCTTGGTGGCATAAAAACAACCTTGATGTTAGGACAGAGGGATTCAAAATCCAGGTTGTGGTGCTAGCATTGTCCAGGATGAGGAGAATCTTGAATGTAAAATTATTCTCCTCACAATATTTGTTCATTTCTGGAACAAAATAATCCACAAACCATTCATGGAAAATCTGCCTGGTCATTCAAGCCTTTCTGTGGGATTTCCAAATGACAGGAAGCTGAGATTTCACATTGGTTTTTCATAGCATGTGGATTTTTCACTATGATACACTAGGAACGGCTTCAGCTTCATGTCTCCATTGGCATTGCCCCCTACAACAAAGTTAGGCAATCCTTTGAGGCCTTAAGTCCAGAAACAGACTTCTTGTTCACAGAAATATAGTTCCTAGATGGCATGCATTTCCACCCATGCATACAAGCCCATTTTGTCAAAACTGAAAACTTGCTATAGGTCGTAGTTGCCTTCTTCAATGATGGTCTTCAGGATTTCGGGAAATGATACAGCTGCACCCTTGTCTGCACTTGCAGCCTTTCCCTGCACTTACACGATCTTGAAGCCATATCTTTTTTGGAACCTGTGAAACTATCCATGGCTGGCATTAAAAGGTCCAGATTCACCAGTCTTTCCTTCTATTTCAATATGTTATACAAGCTCATTGCCTTCTCTTGAATGAAGGATAGGCTGATGGGTATATTCTGCTTATACAGATCATGCAACCATATAGACAACATATTCCATTTTCTGCATCCTGCCACTTCTTTGCCATGTAATCTTAATAGAAGCTCACTTCAGCACAAGTTTTTCTGTCTCCAAAGTTGTCTCATGATTCTTAATAATCATGAATATGGTTGTCTGAGGCAATCCCAGATGGCGCACATATCAACAAATCATTCACCCTTCGTATTACGATCTAATACGTCCAACTTCACATCCTGACTAATACTACTCCGATGCCTCTTACACTCACCAACTTTACTTTTAACACCATTTGCACTTTCCTTAGATATGTGGAAGGATTGCACAACGTAACACAATATCAATCAGAAATAAAATATAAAGGATGACATGATGGGCGCATGGTATTTTTGCACAACATGACTGAACACAACAAAGACTGAGAGCGGCGATGCTTGGTGCAGTTTGCAATAGTGTACGGTATTCCTCCCCATCTGCTATGTCTGTGCAGCACAGGAGTTGGCCATTTTCTTTTATTTGCATTCAAGCATCTGACTTTCATTTCAGCGACTTTTGGCGGGGGGCTGCAACATAAGCTTGGGGAATGGGAGGGCTTATAACAAAACAGTTCCCAAATTCATCAATGACGTTAGTGCAGAACTGATGTATAGCGGGGATGGCCTGTACAGATTTAATCAGGGTTAAGCACAAGAAAACTGTATTTTGATCAGCAAGAAAGATGAAAAGGGTTTTTTGTTTTGTTTTGTGTGCTTTAAGTGTGTTGATTAACTTGCACAATTAACTCAAAAGTTAATCACAATTTAAAAAATTAATTGCAGTTTTGATCACATTGTTAAACAATAGATACCAATTGAAATGTATTAAATATTTGTGTATTTTTCTACATTTTCAATATATTGATTTCAATTACAACACAGAATATAAATTGTACATTGCTCCCTTTATTTTTCATTACAAAACCACTTTGTATTTACTTTGATACTGTAAAAAAGATAAATAAAATATTTTCCAATTCACTTCATACTAGTGTTGTAGGGCAGTCACATGTTTATGAAAGTGCAGATTACAAATGTAGATTTTTTTGTTACATAACTGTTTTAGTTTTGAGTGCAGTGTACAGGTTCAGTCAATCCTACTTCTTGTTCAGCCAATTGCTAAGGCAAACAATACATTTATGGAAGACTAGCAGATGATGCCCATTGTTGATTGAGCAAAGTCGTTTTGCATAGCTTACACTTACAGGACAGTTCACAAAATTATATATATGTAATAGAATTTGTTATTAATGTGCATTCAAAAGAGAAGTAAGAGAAGTTTTAAATGTTTAGGATTTCAACTTCAAACATTATTCATTTTATTGACTAATTACCATATATGGTAAATTTGAATCAGAAACTCATAAAGCTTCATTACTCATTCTGTAACTAATTTAAATTATTTTGTGATATGTAACAGTAAAAGGCTACGTCTAGACTGGCATGATTTTCTGGAAATGCTTTTAATGGAAAAGTT